CAAGAAAACATTCTCCTCTTCATATGTGAAAAATATAAATTACATTGTTCACTTAGTAAAAATGCATTCAAATTTCTAAGGTTCCTCCCACCCCCACCTCAGCCTACCTCCTTACCATCAGTTTAACTGGATATCCTTCAGGCTAGCTTTGAGCACTATTTTTAACGAGGGCTATAAGCTCTTGGCACACACTGAGTGCATCTTTATTTTTCTGTCATCGTCCCTAAGCACATTGTCTGGCCGCTAGGCATCAATCTGTAAATGTTGTGGAATGAAAAGGAAAAAGCTACACCCTGTTCCCAAAAGGATAGATCATTTTTTATAAGTAATATAATTGCTTTCTCCGCTGACAGTTTACAATTCCAGAACAAAACTATGCTATGACATCCTGACATGGTACTTGAGAATATGAAAAAAGTATCGCATTTTCATGTCCTAAATTTCTTTTTCCGTGATAAGCTTCTCTCTGGAAATATATTGTTTATGATCTAATGTTTACATGATTGTAAAAAAAAATTATCGATTCAAAGATAAATATTAATTTTAATGTTAATTTTAAGGCTGGTAGAAATCTTTAAGATCCATGTAAAAATATTGCAAAAGAGGGATTTTAGTAATAAGGACAATTTGCCCAGTTTTTCCAGTTAATTTAGTTATACTTTAGATATTATTCTTGTCAGTTCCATAATAACAATGCACCCAGAATCACAATAAATGTTCACTTACAGTACAAAGCCAAGGAAATATTAGGGTGTTCTAGATTCTACTGGACTTAGAAAGCATAAGAGATTGATATAAGTATTTTTAAATGAATAAAGTAAGACAAGCAAAATACTTAGGGGTTCCACATTCCAACGTATCACCAACATTCAACTCAAACAATGTTTTTTTGCCACCTGCAATGACTGCAAAAGGAGAAATCAGCATTCCTGAAGAATGTGAGAGAATAATAATAAAAGTTAAGGCATTGCAACCTAGTCAGGTTGCAAGACCGGCAGTGGTTCATTAATAAGTAGCTTCCATTCTGTTAGGACAGCTCCAGTGCAAAGCAGCATCCTAACCCTGGGGAGTCCTGCCGCAGGCATTAAGAAAAGGGAATGAAGATTTCTTTTCCAAATTAAGTTGTCAAGGAGCTCATTTACACTACACAGCGCGTGTACGTGGGCGAGCTGATGAAGATGATGATTTATGATGCTACAGCCGCTTAAGTGATTCCACTGATGGAAATCCACAGCAAAATCCACTTAGGAAGATAAAACAGAGCTCCTATTATCTGTAGGAGGTAAAACCACGTGGCTTTTGCCCTTACAAATTTCAAGTTACCCTACTGGGTCTGGGAATGGAAGGAAAGCTCATTTGCTAGGAATTCATGTTTTGGTTTAACATTATTATAAAGATTTACACACAAGCCACTTTTTTAAAAGTTTATATTCGCTGGATCTACTTTAAAGGAATTTTGACAAGGCCTTTCTTTTTTCTCTTTTTGAGGAGGTGGGTGAGGACTGGATCTGACTAATCACATCATGGATAGCTACGTTACATATCGACATTTAAAATATCTACATGTGAATGAATTGTAGCCCTCTGTCTGCAAGGGCAATAAATATACATTTCTGTGAAATCTATCTGCACAAACTGTATTTTAAAAAGCTAAGCAAATACATAAACAGACTTGACTAATGAACATGGCCATCATCAATTAACTTCTTCACAGTGTATCATAAAAAAAAGATTCAGAGCACAAAATACGTAAAATGATAAAACCAAAATGTAAATTGTATTTTAACTTACTTCAGTGTATTTGGTGTGCTTGCCCCTTAAATGTCAAGAAAATTAATTTCAAGAATCTCATGGGAATTTATAGGCTCTGATCTAAATTTTAAAATGCTTATAAGATTCATCTTAGTGGCAAAGTGCCAACTTTAGAAATAGAGTCTCATTGACAAGTAAATTCCTACATAAGCAAGGCAAAAGGGCAAAAATTCATTGTAGTTTTATGATAAATCTAGTTTTACATTTTTTACAAGTGTTTAGACAGAGTGTGCCGTAAACTCTTTAGGGTGATTCAATGTAATCTGGTTCTATGCGTGCCACCATTTATTTATACCATCTTAAATATAATGTAACAGAGCCATTCATTCATGTGCATCTATGCATTAGATTATTACATAGTTCCTATGCTGTAGAAATATAAACATTAACTATTTATCTTCAGCAACATCATCCTACTGCAATATTTATTTCTTCATAAAATATTGCAAAAATTATGGGGACATAAATTGACAGAACATTCCTTGCTCCTTTTGCTATACAGGAGGCACGCTGGAGCAACCCATGCTTTTGTTTTGCTTATATAAAGTGATTCATCAAATTTTGCTCTAAAGTATTTCTAGATTCCAGGAGAATGTGGCCAACCTATATATTTTATTTTATATCACTATGATAAAAATCAGGTGTTTATGTTCATGTATTTACAGGCAAACACTATACATGTAACAGTTACTACGTATGTGACAATATCAATTTTCTTGCTAAGATATCAAGGAAATATTACAAATAAAATTAAGGATTCAGCAAAGGTTTTTTTGTGTGTGTGAGAGGAAGATCAGCCCTGAGCTAACATTTGATGCCAGTCCTCCTCTTTCTTGCTGAGGAAGATTGGCCCTGGGCTAACATCCATGCCCATCTTCCTCTACTTTATATGTGACGCCGCCACAGCATGGCTTGACAAGCGGTGCATCGGTGCGCGCCCGGGGTTCCGAAACTGCGAACCCGTGGCCGCCGACGTGGAGCGCGAGCACTTAACCAGTGCCTCCGGGCTGGCCCCAGCAAAGGTTTTGGTTTGCTTTGTGTATCTTTTCTAACTCTTCTGATGCTTGATATAACTAGATCCAGCTAAAAAAAAAAAAATTTCCAAACAAGTAAATCTATGTAATCTTCACAAGATTCCATGAGTTTTCATGCCAATATTCAATAGGCTTTTATCACCTGTGCTCTGAGAAGCCATAGTAAGCATTAACTTTAAAAATGTAAATAATTTCATTGTCATGAATACATAAATCAAAAATATTAGGATGCAAAAACGGCTCAGGAATTACAGATGGTAAACACAGTTTCTCAGGACCTAGAGTTCAAACCTAAGGGTTATGTTTCAAACTAGAATATAGTTTAAGTTAAAAAATATTATTGTTTTAAAAGCATTTACAGTTTAGCAGGATTAACTTTTATCAGCTAGAACAACTTACTATTGTAATGCCATAATATTGGTACCTCATTTTTTTCCTTGTGTTGAAAATGTTACAGTCGTATATTTTTATAAAAGGTTGATATTACATCCTGGAATAGAGAGGTGGGCTTCAGCCACATAGGATAATCAAATAACATAATGGAGAATTGAGTTAGTGTGAAAATGTATAGATTTTGATATGTTCATAGTATCATCATTCTTAAAAATAGTAATACAATTTTAATACACTATTTGAGAATATGGAAATTTACTGTTACATAAAAATATCCTCCTGTTGGATGTTCATTTGAAATATTTTTCATAATTGAATTTTGAAAAATTTGATTTTCCAGAAACACCCTCCCTACCATATAATATAATGCCTCTTGTTATCATGGTGCTCACAGTTGTGACACGTCTTTGTGACCCTCATAGTAGCCTTGCGAATTGGGCAGAAGGTGAAGGGGCTATTGTCCTCACTCTAAAGATGGGGAAAGTGAGGCTCAAGGATAGGGTTGCTCAAATAGGGCTGCAAATACTATAGATGTCTCTTTTTTTCCCAATTAAAGGAAATATATATTTCAAATTTTGATTTGACCTATATATTTTTGTAGACCATACACAGGAGCTTCATCTCCCTCGAAGATCCTTAGCCAAACAGAACCTTGGCAGATGCAGCCATGGGTGATAAACAACTTCAGAAACACTAATGCCATGGCTTCTTTCTAATGCAGTCTTTGGCATCCATCTCAAAAAAAAAAAGATAGCAGTGGAATAAACAGGATGAAGCTTTTTTCCTAACATAAAATAAACTCCTGAAGTACACTTATTTTCAGATTGGTCAACTTAATAACTTATTTATTAGACAGTATAACCAAATGACAACCTGTATGTAGTAAAGTTTTAAATACAAATATGAGTATTACATATTAGTAAGCAATAAAAATAACAAGTACTCATATATATTACAATCTCTGAAGTACTATATTGTCCCCTAATGAGGTTTGCTGTTTTAAACTGAACAGAAGGCTAAGGAAATGAGTGAAAGAGGACTAAGTAACTAGGAGCAATAAAACACAGAGAAAAAATATTAGCAGGCATCCTTCTGAGTACATTATCTGCATTAATAACCAATGCTCTTGATACAAGTGTGTCTCCTAACCACAGAGCCAAAACACCCCACATGCTTTTCAGTTGATGTTTCTTGATTTTTTTTCCCCTCACAAAATGTAACATCATTTTAATTCAAATTAAATTCTGCATCCTATTATGCCCTCACCTAAAGCCAGTAAAACTTGGACCCCTATTCAGACTACACTTTTTTATTTATATAATCCCCACTGCATTTCTTATTTGAAAATGGAACCCAGTGCTTCCCCCTCCTCATACACATCTCATAAACAACTGATGCTATCTTCAGATGTCAGTTTCTTCTATATGCGCGTTCTCCAATTGAAATACTGGATCCGAACTGGTACCACATCAATGATTATGTGTGATAAAAGCAGACTGCCTATCCACAAAGCCTTTTTAATACTGTCTTTTTCACATAACATCTCCCCCAAAATCTTACCGTGTGAAAAATATGTATGTATAAACTGAGATGTATATAAATGTGCAATTTCCATCTAGCCGCACAGCCAGATCTGCATGTGGGGGTGTGCGTTTTTTAAACAGGCTGAGTATGAATTTCCTTTCCCCAAGTCCTTGATGCTCGGCCTTTACTTACACACATTTTGAGAGTTGGAAGATGATGGGGAGAGAGAAGAGCAAGCCAGACATCAAACCCATTTATTCTGAATCTTAAATTATGACTTTTTATCATCAATATTTTGGTTACATTGTTACACAAAGGACAAATTAACATCCAGTTTGAGGTCTCTTCTTTGATTGCTTTGGGATTAGTGACATTTCCTTGGCGTTCAAATCCTGCACCCATCAGCTCTCAGCTGCGTTTTAATAATGTTGTTGTACAAGGTGCCAAAACAAGGATTAGTGAAACTGATCCTGGGTTGCCTCTGCCAATACCTTCCACCACGTGACGTCCAGGTGTCTTCCCCCAGGTGCTTGCAGGGCTGTGTCAGTCAACACACCTCTTTCACTTGGCAGATCAGAAGAGGATGCTAAGGGAGAGTAGCTGGTCCTGCTGCCTTTGAAGCACCTGATCCTGGTGTGCTCACACAGAGGTGGATCCAAATAAATGAAAACATGCTGCTCGGAAGACCCAGGTGGACTCGCACAGAAACCACGTCTTTAGGAGACTTGGTCTTACAGCTTCTGTTCTTGTCTTACATGATTCATGCCCCCCAGGAACACCAGGTTCTTAAAGTATTCCAGAGCGTAAATTAAAAAAGAAAAAACAAATCCAAGTTGTTAGTTCTAAAGGTGTATCTGAGAGAATCTCTTTGAAAGAATAAGCAGAATTGTCCATTTGTCACTTTTACTTTGATATACAGGTAACTTTTGTTTGGTTTGGTCTCATCCAGAACAAAATACACAGGTATTTTTTGTTTTGTTTTGTTTGGTCTCACCCAGGAATTCAACATACATTTTCTCTCCCCCATCCCAGCGTGAAAAATAAAAGTAGGAGTTGGGAGAGCTGAGTGTGGAAAGAAAAGTCAAGCTTTTTGAGAAAAAACCACACACACAAACAATACAAAACAAAAGCGGCAGTCTAATCGTGCAAAATTTGCTTCTCTGGATAAAGCACTTCTTGACAGGTTCACAATGTCCCCTTCCCCCTCCCAAGTCCTCCCATCCACCGGGGGGAAAAATACAGAATGAAAGTGAAGCCATTCTTTCTCTTAAGGCTGAACAGACACACAGAGAACACATTTCAAGGACTGTCCGGTGGGTGATTTGCAGGGTTCTTGCTCTGAGCCCTGATCGCAACCTGCAATCCATCCTGGGGTCAGTGACACTCCTCGCATGGGGCAGCAAAACAACGTACAAACAAAAGAAGAAAAGTCAGTGGTCCCAACAAGAAAATCCGATATTGACTTTACAATCACAGGAACAAATTGCTCAAATCATAATATCATTTCTCCTTAAGACCTTGTCGTCTAAAACTAATTAGAGGCCAGGTTCCCGAGGAATAGTCAATATTCAAAGAAAATACCGGAGATTTGGAAGGAAACCATTCTTCTACCTCAACAGTCTGACGGAGGCTGGAAACAAGTTGTCCTATTGTGGCAAGTTCAGGATGTTAGGAAGGGTGGGTTCATGGGTCCAGATGGCAACTTCCCACCATCCGGGGGTCTCTGCGTTTATAGAGGAAAAACCAAGAAGCCCGAGAACGTGGAGTACTTCCAGCCCCCCATGAGGTTGCCCCTTTCCAGCTTGAGGTGCACTTTGTCCTCTCGTTCCATCAGCAGCAGGACGCCATTGCTGGCAGCTTCCCTGGTAACGTCCTGGTCTCCTGCAAACGCTGAGATCACCGGGTAGCCGTTCTGCATTAAACTGACCTGCGAGGCAGAGGGTAGAGCTCAGCAGACCATGAAAGACCCCACTTCCACGCTTCCACACACTTGTTCTCTTCTGCCCCCACACCCCCACCCTCTCCACGGAGCCCACACCAGGGGCCTGACCCAGGGACTCAGCTGGTTTCGAGCCCCAGGCCCCTGGTCAGCTCTGCTCCCTGGTTCGCCCAGACTCACAGGGCCTGCAGCAATGGGGGACCATTAACCCAAAGCTAAAAGGGTCCAGGCAGTTTTCAAAGCGACCCACCTGGATGGTTTGCCTGTTGTACACTTTGACCACGTGGAAACTGAAGCTATAAATCCCTTTTCTCGGTGCTACGAATATACTGGAGGCAAGGTCGAAATGGTTGCCAATATTTACTAATACCTGAAAAAGAAGAGGGAATGCGGCACAGACCTAGCAAGACCCTCCTCAGCATATGGTCTAACCAGACTCCCATCACCACTGACACCAGCTTCTCCGTGAGCCGCAGAGCAGCAGGCAGCGCCACCCCAGTGAGCCAAGGCTGCCCCAGGGAGGAGGCAGTGCTGCAGTTAAAACATCCTACAGCAAGAATTGATTTCAAAAGTATTCTCATGGATTGTAATTCATAAAGATTTTTTAAAGTATATTTTATTCATGCATTGAAAAAGTGGATGTAAATTTTGTGTGTTGGGGGCAGGGCAGAGAGAGAAAAGAATGGAAAGAATGGAAGACAATTAGGTCAGTAAACAAACTGTTAATTGAGTCTTTTCAGAGGTTTTCGGGGTTTGGAGGACTTCAGCATGAAGACTGCCATATTAATTGGGTAGATAAAGGATAGGGTTGTAATTAGTATTTGGGTGGTGGACACGATGTAATCTATGCAGAACTAGAAGTGTAATGATGTACACCTGAAATTTATACAATGTTATAAACCAAGGTTACTGCAATAAACAAAAAATTAAAAAAAGAAAAAAAGGATAGGGAGTAAGGGGCCAATTAACTGAGATAACTTCCGTCAGATCAAGCTTGGGACCTAACTTTGCGTGCTCCACGAGAGAACGGACTGTGCGAGATTTTTGTCTCCATGTTTCCCCAGCCTCCCCCCACCCCAGCACACTCCTGGCAGCACACAGTAGATGCTCAATAATGGCTGCTGAGTGAAAGACCGTGCTTGATAAACACTGGCTGCGCCCGTTTCCCCTCACTTTTCTCTGAGCAACGTGTCTGCTCCCTTAGCTGAGCTATGACGTCATGCAAATAAGCTTGAATCAATAACGAGCGAGTCAGAACAGCAGTTTGGACACCCTTAGCTCAAACTACGGGAATTCCACAACATGCAAGAAGAACAACAAAATTAGCCACGGGATACGAGATCACATGACCCTGCAGGTCTGTTCTCAAATAAAAGGGGGATAAAAACGTTACAATGTCATAAGCAGAACTTGAAGAGTGGAGGGTCCCCCATTATGACCCAATTCCCTTTCAGATGTTCAAGACAGAGTGTGGCCACTGTGTCTGGATTCTGCCCCCGGTCCGACTCACACACAAATGCACAACTCAATTAAAATAATAAAATGGCCTGCCTGGTGTTCTCAGCTTTTAAAACAAACAGCCAGCAACAACAACGAAACCCTAGATTAGAGATCCTGTCATCTGTTCAGAAAGAAAATTTTCAACCGAATTCCTTTTGCTGTTATTTCTCACATACTCATCCAAGATGAATAACATGCAATTCCCAAAGCAATGTGTGGTGCTGCCAATGACAACTGCTGTCGGGATTTGGGGAATAAGCCTGCACCAGCTTCTTCAAGGGAGCTCCGAGCGCCACTTCAGCCCCCTGACTGCAGGGCGCACACAGACACTCAGGGCTCTACTGGGAAAGACCAGGCATCAGGATGCCTGTTCTCAGTCTCTCCAAGGTTCTGCTCTCAGTCCGCCTTACAAGGCTTTAAACAGGGATGGAGGATTCTCCAGTCAAGCCCGTGGAGCTGCTTCTTCCAACTCAAATACCTCAACTCTTGCATCTCAATTTTAAATTCAGGAAACCGGTAAATTCAGGGCCCTGCTGTAGACAAACACACAACCAGCCTCAGGAAAGCGAGTCTCGGTTACTCCCTAACAGGGGAACCAGGGAAACCTCATTTAACCTGCTCTGCCATGGTTGGTTCATCTATAAAATTAGAATCTTACTACCCTTATCCTGCCTGACGTCACAGAGTTTTCTTGACACCCGAATGAAATGATGGATGTAAAGATGCTGTGAAAACTATTTGTAGGACATTAGAAAGTGAATAATAATAATAATACATACAGAAGAACTTATTCATAGAGTAAATAGTTACCAAATACCTATTTCATTGTTGTCTGCTTTATCTGGACATAATTAAATACTTTCATGTCTTGTAAAAAAAAAAAAACATTAGAAAGAGACTCCCCCCAAAGGACCACAAACATCAGATATATAATTCTTGACAAGGATTAAAATAAATGAATACACTGGCCTAAAAAGAGGCAACGGTGTGTGTAGGTTTGTCATTACTTAGGTGCGAGAGCAGGTTAACAGAGAGAAGAGAAGTCAGTTAAGTGTGTCCAGTGGGCCCAGGACTCCATTCTGTGGGAAGCATTTTGGCAAAGGAAGGGACTGATGAGTTAAAGTTTGGAAACCACTATAATGTTTTCAATTTGTTTCTGAAAAACAGAAACCCAGGTTGGGGGGGAAGACACAAGAGGAAGGTCGACCTCTAATCCTGAGCAGCAAGAACCCAGAGGGATTGCCAAGGCCTGATCATATCGCTGACCCTTCTGCTTTGAACCAAGTGGGAGAAGTGAAGTGGCTTAGGGCAACATAAGGCGTTGATCTTTATTTTGTTTTTGTTTTTTTTTATTTATATAACCACACTACATACTATAGTGATATACTGTATATATTGTATTGGTATATTATGTTGTACATACTGTATTTACTATATATTGCACTTACATAGCCACACTATTTTGTTTTGTCTTTATATAACCATCCCTGCTATTTCTCCCACACTCTTCCCCACTTATTCTTTTTGAGGATAAACATCCTCTCCCCAGTCCATTCCAAAATAAGCAAGAGGTGCATATTTTCTGAGCGTTGGCTGAGACCTTAGGAAAAGCCCCTTCTTGAGCATGGAGAGTTTTAAACGCACTCGGTCCCTAAGTTGGCCACCTGGGTGACTGACGCTTGTCCACCACAAATAACATCCCCCAGCCCAGCGAAAAGTAAAACCTGCAGTTTCCTTTTGGAAAATATATTTCAGATCTCAGCATTACGGGATTCTCAGTCATCCAAGTGCCAACTGAGCTGATAGCTATAAAAAAAGCTACAATGTGGAAAAGGGAAATGCGAAGGAGGGCTTACTAAAAAAGGAAAAGGGAGAAGGGTAGGGCAGGGCAGAGAGGAGGAGGGAGCCTGGAACTCCCTGTCCACGAAGCCGAAGCCGGGAACCCCAGCCCGCGCGCCCAGGCCCCCGCCCTCTGCACCCGGGCGGGAGGCGAGGTGGCAGGCCGGCCGGCTGACCTGGTCGAAGTAGATGGTCATGGTGCGGTTGCTCATCTCGGACGGCTCGTGGTTGGTGCTCCGCGTGGCGGAGAAGGCCACCTTGGCGCTGCCGGAGCGCACAGAGATGCCCAGGGAGGAGGTGACGGCGCCGTCCGCCGACGGGCTCGAGTCGCACACCACCAGGCACTTGCCCTCCAGCACAATGGGCTCCGTGTCGTTCTGCGCCCGCACCGGGCAGCCGGCGGGCAGCAGCAGCAGCAGCAGGGCCAGCGCCGCCCCCAGACAGGAGCCGCAGCCGGCCGGCTCGCGCAGCGCCCCCC